TTGTTGAAGTCTATGCAAAGGACGCTCAGCTTTTTCTTAATAGCTTTGATTTTCTTTAAAACACAGATGAACAGAGAAAAGTTAGTCCAAAGGGGGAAGTCAAACAGCACCATCCACTGTCTGCAGGCAGCAGCCTGCTGAGCTGCCCAGTAGTGAGTCTGTACTTGGCTTGAATTCAAAGACAACGCAGCAGAATTAACTGCATGAAGGTGCTGAGCTCTCAGCTTAGTACAGGCTCCCTTGGATCACACCTGGTAGGAAAGCAGCCATCTCAGCAAGGTCCTGACTGTCTCCTGCCAGTTCAGGAGGTGCAGGTGCTTAAGCAACAACCTCCTCTACCTTCATTTCACTTCACCTTCTCTTCTATTTTTAATCCAGCTCCAAGCTCCTTCACTCAGCCACCGGTGCATGGTAAAAGGGGGAGATGCTGAGCAGCTCAGTCCCCCTCTCCTGATCACCCCTTTGCATGCAGGGATTGGGTGCTGCTTCCACTTGACCTGCACAGCACCATCTGCAATTTCAGCTTCTCAGGAGCCCCTCAACTTCCAGTGTTGACCCCACTTTGTAAATGTCATCCCCTTTAGAGGAAAGGAAAAAGAGGGGAGCATAGAGGCATCACCAGTGTGCCCAAAGTCATGGGAATCGGGGGCAAAACTTGAGTCTAAGCCTCAGTCCTCTGCTCTAACGCTACAATGTCCTCTCAGCCCTGCAAGGCTCCCATGCATGTGCTTACTTTAAGCTCTGTGATCTCACCTCCTGCGTTTCCTCAGGGAGATGGAGACCGTTTCTTTTACCCAGTTTGATCAGCCTCTCGAGATACCTCTTTGCTTCAGGCTTCAGTGAAGCACTCTCTGCTTTCTCCTGTAAAACAAACCCAGAGGCACAGGGATCAGGTGTTGCAGAAAGCCAGTTCCTGGTGGGAGTTGGGGGTTATTGTAACACCAGTGACCCAGAAGCAGATGGAAACACCCCACAAGAGGGCTTTGGTTTGGTGTGTTAGCTACTAGCAGACTGCTTTAAGCACATCACCTTCATGCCATAGTACAGCACGTTCCAGGGCGTTACCCTGCCCTGTCACCATAGAAGGCAGGCTGGGCTTACTAACACCACCTTATCAAAGGGGTAACTGAGGCCCTGAGGGAAGGAAGAGCCCTCAAAGCCCAAGTTTCTAGTTCCCAAAAGCAGCTGGACCGTTCTGCTGTGATCACACAGCGATTCAGTTCCACACCTGACTCGCCATCATTCACTTGGAAGTTCTGGGATGAGGAAAAAGGGTTTGTTGTAATTCCAGGAGGTTTCAGTGCCCTGCTCAGGGACATCACTGACCTGGAGCCAAACAATCCTCTGGTACACGTCCTGCCTCATGCTCATCTCCACGTCGAACTCTGAGAGCTTCTTGTCAGCCTCAGTGCTCGCTGCACGGATGTCTTTGCAAGGAGAGACGTGCTGGGGGAAGTCCAGCATGTTCCGACGGACTGCACGACACAAGAGGGACTGTGGTAAAGGCAATGGCTTCATGTCCCAGAGCTGCTCGTGAGTGGGAGTGCACACAGAGAGCCTGTGTTAACTGGGAGCCAGTTTGACAGCCCCGGAGCCTGACCTGCCTGCCCACACAAGGGAAGAGTGAGGCAAGCGGCTGCCATCAGACAAACCCAGCACTGTCCTCTGCAAGCAGCACACTGTCACTCACAGCACCCTGTCACCCTTCCCCATTGCCATCCACTGATTTCCCTCCACAATCCTTCTTTCTCACAAACCCCTCAATGATTTTCCTCCTTTACAGCTGGTATCAGAATCACACGATTTCTATGCTGGCAGACATAAGGCAGCATCCTCTCCTTATAGGACCAAGCTAAAAGTGACAGACCTTTACTGCAGACACCCCTCAAAAGCCACCACACCCCAGGTATGCTCTGGCCTCAAGTGTTTCCATTTTAGAAGTGAAAACAAGCTGTCATCATCTCTGAACTAACACAACTGCAGTGGGAAGGTGCTGCCCTCCAGGCCCGAGGCCTCTCCACCCAGCAGAAAGGGAGCAGGCAGCTACTCTCTGCTGCCTACTTAAAGTGCTGATGGTTCTGCTAAAGTTAACATTACCCCCCCTTAGTAAGGGCTTTTTCTCTTGCTTTAGGAAGAAGAAATCAGAGGGAAGAAATAAAAGGCTTGCAAGCTGGCTTCTGCTCCGCACAGAAGCCCTAAAATAATGGCAGTGTTTGAACAAGGCACACAGAGAGATATTTACCTGCTGCCTTAAAGAAAATGTTAGCAAAGAGCTGAAGATTTCTTAGATCATCTGAACCATTTCTGCCAACACACGATTTGTTCCCACTAATGCACCTTAAAAGCAGGAGACAACCTGGCTACTCCCACCACAGACCAGGCTGCTGCCAAAGCACTGTCCCCATTTTAGACCCGCTCTTCTATGCCAAATCTCTATTCTTTGTACTCATATCTAAGCTGTATAAACATTAACTGGAAAAAAATCCCAACAGACTGCTGAGGGAGCCAAGGGAAGGAAAAAGGAGGTAAAAGTCCAGAGGGAAAAAACAAACACCAAAACCCCTTTGTGAGACGTGGATTTCCAGACCTCCTTCTCCGTGTACATACCTGTATATTCAACTTCCACATCTGCCAGTGCCTTGAGGGTGTTTTCATAGGACACCTCACCCTGCTCCTGGGAGCCCACCCGGTCGTACACAACCTTGGTCCTCTCTGTCAGATCTGCAGCCATGGTTTCGATCTGCTCGGCCGTCAGGTCCCATCTCAGCTGGTTTGCCAGCAGCCTGGGGGACTGGCTATCCACAACGTTACCTGGAGACAGGAGGGGAGGAAACGCTCTGTTGAGCCGCAGCCTTTACACAAGCTGGAAGGAAAAACGCAGCTACACAGCGAAGGATCGATAAAAGCACTTAAAGGGGAGGCCCAGCAAACAAACCACGCCGATGGACAACCAGGCTGCGAAGGAACGCGGGCGCTAGCGCCAAGCGGCGGCCCGGTTACGCTCCGGGCGCTGTTTACCCTCTCAAGCACCACCAGCCCTTCATAGAAACCCGACTCCCCGCCGTGCCCCCGGCAGGAGCCTCCGGGACCGGAGCTGTAGGGCAAAGAGGTGACAGCGGGGGGGGGTAAGGAGACCAGCGGCTCCCTACGGCACCCCTTGGGGGGGGGGAGCCCCGGCTCCTTCCTCCTGCCCTATCCCGCTTTCCTCCGCCTCACTCCTTCACCTCCTGCCCCCGGTCGACCCCAGCCCCGTCCCGCCGCCGGTACCTGCGGGGGGCGCCATGCCGGGAGGCGCCGCGCTGCGGACGAGGCCGGGAGAGAACCGTGCCGGCCCCGCGCACAGAGCATGTGCCCCAACCATAGAGGCGGGCAGAGAGAGCGGCCGCGCAGAGGGATTCTGGGAGCTTGGAGGACTCAGCGCCGCTCTCCCCTTCCCCTCACTGTATCCGGGCCGGGGGGCAGCGGCCCATACGCCCGCAGACGTAAAGCCCCGTCCCTGCCCCGACCCTCACCCTCGGCGGCTGCGGGGCAGAAGCGGGCCCGGGAGTAGGAGCGGAGCCCACCGGGAGCAGCACCGCGGCCCAGTGCTCCCGCCCGCCCGTTTCCACAGCAACGGCCCCTCTCGATGGTAAAACCCTAGGAGGAGCGACAAGAAGCCTCCGGCCCCGCGCATGCGCTGTCGCCTCCTGCAGGCAAGCGAGAGCCGAGGGGGGGGCAGACGGGCGCACTGCACAGGCGCAGAGGGCGGGGCGCACCGCATGCGCAGTGCTGAGCCCGCCCCGGCCGAGGCGAGTGTTGGGGCGTTGGGTGAGCGGGGCGGGGGGGGCCGGACCAGGCCGTGCTTCCCGCTGAGGCACCGGTTGCATCCGGTCCCCATGGGGCAGTGACCGGGTTGGGGTCCGCTTGCGGCGGGGCCCACCGTGGTCCCGTGTGTGCCGGGCCGGGGGCTGTGGCGCGGTATCCCCCCGCGGTGCGGGTGCGTTCCGTTATGGGAGCCCTGAGCAGTGCTGCTCTCACGTCTCCTCCCCGAGCGGGCTGGGAGCGGGGCTCGGGCCTGCCGCGCCCCTCAGGCCTGCCCAGGGCGGCGGTGGGTGCTGCGGGCAGGGCCTCGGGGTACGGGGCAGGGGAAGGGTCTTCCTCGTCCTGCATCTGGGGTCCGGAAGGGGCTGTGAGGCTGCGGCCTCGCTCGTCGCTGGGGCCATGGGCCCAGCACAGGCAGCGGTACCTGTGGCTGTGACTGGGTGGATCGCTGGTGTCTGCCAGTGGGTTGGGGCTGGCTGAGCTCTGCTGGTGTCTCTTGCACAAAGTTTGCATTTAAACAACGTAATTTCTATAACAAATCCCTTTAAAGGGGGTTTGGGTCTATAAACCCAGTGGAGTGTTCTGGAGAGGCAGAGTGCTTCAGCTCAGCAGCAGTGCTGTCCAAGGAGCTGGGGCTGTTGCACTTCCAGGACCTGCCTTGGGATCTCTGGGTCTGCTTGTAGGGGTTGTTTTGCTTTAGCCCCTCTACTATCCATGTGCTGGTAGGGCAGGCTGGGGAGCAGTGCAGAGGACTGGCACCCCGAGCCCCAGCTCTGCTAACAGTGGCAAACTGCTTCAGCCTTTGGTTTGGTTTTAGAACCAGATCATGCTCTGGAAGCAGAAGACTCTGGTTTCTTAGGTGTGAGCGCCTCAGTGCTCAGTTTGTCTAGTCCTAGTAAGTCAGAGCTGTTTTGGTGGCCTGAATGCCTGCAACACCTTTGGTGTATTATTCTTAGCTGGAGCATTGCATGGCACTATTGTGCTGTGCAGCTTGAGCTGAAGAGGGTTACTTGAGGCCTGAAGAATTCATGGAAATGGGGTTGTTTTTACAGCAGAGAGTTCAGCGAAGGTCCTGGAAGCCTCGGCCAGTCCTGAACAACTCCTTTATCCTCACATTCATACTGGGGGAGAACAGCAGTAAAGTTCTTTGCTTTCTTATCCATCAAGCCCTATTGGTTTTCTCTCTGTGGCTGTTTTTGTTAAAGCTCCAAGAAGTTGGAGTGAGCTGCAGGAATGGCAGACCAGAAGCGCCTTGCCTACTCCATCATCCAGTTCCTACATGACCAGCTACAGAATGGGGGGCTGTCTCCAGATGCTCAGGAGAGTTTGGAAGGTAGGTGGCTTTATGTGCTTCCGTGTTCATGCAGCCAGGTCTGTCAGCCCAACACTTAGACACTGTTACTCTCTTCTGCCCCTTCCCTGTTGGGCCTAACATCAAACCTTGATTAAAACTGGAACTGAATTTGTCTTCTTGGGGAGGTATGAGGAATGCTGATTGCTCATCTGATTTCCTCTTATCTCTTTCAAAAGCAGATTAGTTGGAGGAAGGGATATACCTGAGATTAAAAACCTCTCTGACCCTGGCTTTGGGACTTACAAGGTTTACCTTAAATGAGGTAGAGTCAGGAGGGTTGTAGTGAAGTGTGAAATCACAACTCTGTTGTCCACAGGTGTTTCATGCTTGCAGGGGGCTTTTCCCCTTTGCTATCACAATGCTTTCCCACAGCACACCCTGGAGAACGTACACAGGTTTTTTTACAGAGGGCTCTGCTGGTAACAAGAGTGCCCTGATCTTAAAAGAGCTGCTTAAGGAGCTTATGCTTTGGTCTTTGGCTTTGTACATTTGTCCCACTGAAGGAGAGCACAGGCATGTCTGCAGAGTGGTGGGTGCATTCCTGGGTGAGGCAGGAACAAAGGAGGGTGTTGGCTGGAAAGAAGGGTTTATTCCTGATGCTTTTGGACTATAAAACATGGCATGAGAGCTCTGTTGTGTCACTGGAGTTCCCCTCCATACTGGAAACAGCTTCCCCACCAGGATCCACATGATGGAGGAGGTGGTGGTTCAGTGTCTTTTGCATGGCCACAGTGACAGCCACCCTCTAGCAAGTGAAACATACAACTCCCTCCTTGCTTTCTTCTCCCCACAGCTATGGGAATGCCAGTAAAACCCCAGCTTGGTTAACTTGTACCCCCAACACCTCTGCAATCACCTGAGGGGAATAGGAGTCGAGTGACTCCATTCAGGAGCTTGAGCTCCAGAGCCCAGTTTGCCCAGCTCTGAGGATGTGGTAAAATTTGAGGCTGTGTCCCAGATACCCTGGTGTGTTTTGTTCTCTTGGTTCTGGTATGTTCTACAGTAAGAAATGAAGCTGTTGTGGGAGGGGGTTAAAGATCTAGATGGAGTGGGGAAAGCTAATTACGTGACTCTTCTTGTCTAGTTGCCATCCAGTGCCTGGAGACAGCATTTGGGGTCTCGATGGAAGACCAAGGCCTAGCTGTGTCTCAGACTCTTCCTGAAATATTCGAAGCTGCTGCAGGAAAGGTTAGCAAGTGCCCTAAAATATGTGCTAAGTTTTCCTTTTAAGCAGCCAAAGCAATGAGCTCTGCTTGATTCCTCTGAGGAGAAATGCTACCCCCTCAGAGGTGTGTGGGAGGGAAATGTTTTGGGCTTGATGAACCAGTGCTTGGGAAGAGGGAGGTGTAAGTTCTTCTCAGTGGGAGTCTAGCAAAGCCTTCTCCCTCTGCTTGTAAGGAGCCTGAACACATCAGAACAAACTCGGAGCCCATCACCCCCTCTGAAGATGACATAGCTGAGGCTGAAAGACTCAAGACTGAAGGTAATCTCCTCTGGAGCTGGTGTATAATGAGGTTTAGATGCTGTTGAGGCACCTGGGGAATGCTTGGAAGAGGTGGTGGGGAGGGGAAGACAAATGGGATCAACCCTTCTATTTCTTGTCTCTGATGGTGCTGCAGTAGGTTGACATCATTTGGCTGTGTGGGACAGGCATCTTTCCTGTTGAGCTCTCCTCTGTGTGTTGCCTTTTTGCTGCTGTGCAAGAGAGCACAGTTAGTTCTGCAATTTGATGAAGACGGTCCTCTGAGCCAACGTGCTGCAGTGCTCTTCAGGATATGGTGCTGCTCTGGGGAGGCCTCAGATGGGCCTGAATGGTTGGGGGGGAACAGCTGAAGGTGCTAAGGGGGGCTTGCAGGATCAGGCAACCTGGTATTGCCAAGACACAGCTCCCCACCTCGTTGCTGAATGTGCCCTGCACTGGCAAGGTTTGACCAGCAGCATTTGCAAGTGGTTTGTTTCTCTCTTGTCCTATTTTCTTAAGTAGAACATAGATCCAGGCCTATTGCTTCTGTTTGACCCTATTTCCCCCTCACCCCTTTGTTAATTAGCCTTTCCACTATCTTTTTAGGAAATGAACAAATGAAAGCAGAAAACTTTGAAGCTGCAGTGTCTTTCTATGGAAAAGCAATTGAATTAAATCCATCCAATGCTGTGTATTTCTGCAACAGGTACTGATTATCTTTCTCTATCCTTGTACACCTGTGGTTTTGTTATGTAGATTTAAAAGTCTTGAATGGTTAAAATCCCATTTTTTCTGTGTTTTTTATGATTCTGTAGACTGTTCTGTTCCTTGCTCTTTTGTGTAGTTTTTGGGGTTGTTTTTTTTTTTAAGCTCACGGTGACACACACTTTCCTGTGCCCTGACATCTTTAGGTAGGATGTGGGTGTGGAAACAAACTCCTAGGCGTTTGAGGAGACATAAGGATGCTAAGAAATACTGTCTGCTTTCATGCAGTTAACTCTTAAGTGGGATGGAGGGCCCAGGTTTCAGAGTCTGTGTTGATAATAGAAGCAAAGCAGTGAAATGAGACAAGCTGAAGGCTTGTTACTGAGAATAAATTGATGTGTGTGTAGAATGGGGTATGCAAGCAAATTCCCTGCTTTTCAGGTCTAAGCAAAAGTGTTTGGAAGTTAGTGGGAAGGCAGCTGGTGAATAAAGCAAGCTTTGAATCAGGATTTGGTTTAGCTGCCTGCTTATTGTGAGTACGTTCCCACACCTGGCTACAATGAAGAATGTGTCTGCACATACGTTGATGATGGGGTGAGGTGCTTCCTGGAGCAAGGAGTGCACTTGGTGCCTTTAGCTCTGTGTGGGTCAGTCCCATGAGGGTTTGGGTAAATGCCCCTCAGTGAGAGTTGTGAGATTGAGGATTGAATGAGCACATTATTGCTTCAAAAAGAGTTTTCTCCTCTTACGTGGAGTGTGTGTGGGGGAAATGGGTGAAACAGTTGTTATGACTGAGGAATCAAGGCATAAGAGAAGCTGGGAGAGATGATCTGAGCTTGCAAGTGTGATAGTACATGCCTCTCTGAAGGCCAGGCTCCTCTTGGAAAGTCCATAAGGAGAAGTAAGCCTAGGTTTACTTGCAGTAGGAGTAGAATGTGGTGCTGGGTGTTTGGATAGCAGCCTGCTTGCTTAGATATGACCTGGATTTATGTCAAGTTCACACTTGACTTTGCCTTGTACGATAGGAGACTACAGAGATTAAACAGGGGTGACCTTGATCAGCATATTGAAGCTGTTAAGTGTTTCCTGTACATCTTTCTCTGTTCCCTCCAGAGCTGCTGCATACAGTAAACTAGGAAACTATGCTGGAGCAGTGAGAGACTGTGAAAGAGCTATAGGCATCGATCCAAACTACAGCAAAGCTTATGGCAGAATGGGGTAAGAGCATTATGGTGTTTTGTACCAGAATTTTAAGCTCGATGCCTTGTGGCAGTGATACTGTTAGGGGTGTTCTGCCCTGGAATGCCATGCAAAAATACCTGGTGTTTCTCCTTTGCTGGGGCTGGAGGAAGATTGCAAGTGCTTATCTAAGTGTGACCTTTTCTACTTTCATAGCTTGGCCCTCTCCAGCTTAAACAAACACACAGAAGCTGTAGTTTACTACAAAAAAGCCCTGGAGCTGGATCCAGACAATGACACCTACAAATCCAACCTTAAAATAGCTGAACAGAAAATGAAGGAGACTCCAAGTCCAGTAAGTTCTGAAACTGTTTGTTATCGGTGGATAAGATTAAAAGGAGGCTGCTTCGTTGTAAATGAAGCTGCTTTCTGCTGAGCCTTGATGGCCTTGACTGTGTTTAGAATACAATTCTTGTGTGCAGACAGAGAGGAGAGACAAGTCTTGTTGTGACCATTCTTGAGCACAGTCACCACAGGCTTATTAGAGCTGGAAAATGAGACTATTTAGAAAGGAGTGTTTTGAAACAGACTAGTCACTGCTCCTAAAATCCAGCTTTTTTCCCCTAGTGACCTGTTGGCAATACCAAAAGGGCATTTTTTAGGTGGCTTTTTTTTTCCCCTTACAAAGATTGTTTTGTTAAGAAAAGAAACCTAGAGGTTTCCTAGCCAGAAAGCTGTACTGCAGCGCTGTTCCATGTGGAAAGATGTTCATAATTGTGAAGGGTTTCTGGTTTTCTAAAGATTTCTCCAGTGCAAAGGTGGCCAAGTGGATGTGTTTCATTTGGCAGTCATAATGGTTTCTAGCTGTACATTGTAATGTGGCTGTGAAGGGGGTGAAGCTGCCCTTTGACTCCTTTAGTGAACCTAATCCCCAAGGCTGGCTGTGACCTGGAGCTTTACAGCAAGGGTATGGACAGAGCCTCTTTGTTTTGTAACACTGGGAGTAAAGCATTAAAGTTTATTGTCAGGAAGTGAGAAGATGTCATCATGTGCATGTGGTTTCTTTATGCTTACAGACTGGAGGTCCAGGAGGATTCGATTTAGCTGGCTTGCTGAACAACCCTGGCTTCATGAGTATGGTAAATGTGGACACAGATCAGGCTGTATGCTCTGGATGTTGGTCTGTTCAGGATGAAATGTAGCAGTACGTGGCCTGGGAAGCTCCTGGGTCTCTTTAGCAGATTTGTTTTCATTTCATCCAGTGTTGAAACTAGGCTTGTATTTTGTGAAGTCGCTGCTCTTCATTTGACCTCATTCACCAGCTTCTCCTTGCAACATGCTGGCTGTAGGAAGGGTGCCTGTTTTGCATTACCAGCCTTGTCTTGTGTGTTGTACTGTGGCTCCTCTTATCTATTTTTGTCCTACTGATCTGTTTCAAAGTATTTCTGCTTTTCCTTTATAGCTGAATGGCACAACGTCTGCATATCCACCCCGTAATTTCTGACTAAATAGGGTGTCATTTTTTCTCCCCTCTTTAAATAGGCATCTAACCTAATGAACAATCCACAAGTACAACAGCTGTAAGTTTGACCCCATCTTGTATTTCCTTTTCGTACCTTTCATTTGAGGCTGTGTGTGTGTTTGGCATTTGCAGTAGGTCTGAACTGGTGGGAGCAGGAGGGTGCTTGGACCAAAACTATGAAGGGCAGCTTTAAACCCATCCAGCTGCCTTGGCTAGTGTATTTTGAGTACTCAAGACTGTGCTGAAGAGGTATCCTGGTATAAGCATTTGCAGAAGGCAGGCAGGGTAGATCATGGCACTGGAACTGGGTTTGGGAAGCTTGGGCTCGGACTGGCTCTGCTGCATAGTGTTTATGTGACCTGGAGACAGGATTTCACAGCTCTGTCTTGGTTAGAATGAGAATGTTTCCATTCTTTGTGCTACAGGATTATGAGGATCAACTTAGAATGTTTGTGAGATGCTTAGATAATACAAAGTCATCAAAATAATCAGGCATGCATGCCACTAGTGAATATATTTAGGCAGACCTGTCAGTAGGTCCCTTTTGATGCAGAGCAAGCAAAGAGCTTGCATGAGGAAGGGCAGTGTTTTAATTAAACCAAACACATGGCTTGCACACAAAAGGGGGTATCTCTGGGAATACAGGAACTGATGCTCTTGTAAGTATTGTGCAGTTTAATGTTACAGTTCCTCTTCTGCAGTTAAAGAAAAGTTATTGCAGAAGATTCCCTTGCAGATAACTTCATACTCTGTATGCAGAGGTGTTCCCATTATGCCAACACTCCCCTTCCACTGTAAGCTAAACCATTTCTGTGGGTTTTTTTTTCCTGCTCTGAGCAATGACTCTTACTTCCTCAGCATGTCCGGGATGATTTCTGGTGGCCACAATCCCATGGGAGCAGCAGGTACCAGCCCATCCACAAATGATCTTGCCAGCCTCATACAAGCGTGAGTAGAGAGCTGGGAGTTTCCATTGCCTTGGTCAATAAATTGGTTTGGGATTTTTGTTTTACCAGAAGCAGAACCTTAATTTAACAATTGAGAAAGGCTTAAATACTGGGTGAAGCATCATGGAATGGTTTGGGTTGGAAGGGAGCTTAAAGCTCATCCAGTTCCAAACTGGCAAGGACACCTTCCACTAGAGCAGCTTGCTCCAAGCCCCATCCAGCCTGGCCTTGAACACTGCCAGGGATCATCAGTCCTTCTCTGCAGAAGGATGAGTCTTTGAATCTTGTATTTCTAAACTCTCTCTAACCTTTTCATTAAGCCGTAGTTCCTCTGGGCACCCTGTGCCAGAGCCTCAGCACCCTCACAGGGAAGAACTTCTGCCTCAGTGCTCATCTCAGTCTCCCCTCTGGCAGGTTAAAGCCATTCTGCCTTGTCCTGTCCCTACAGGCCCTTGTCCAAAGCTCTTCCCCAAGGTTCTTGTAGCCCTTTTAGGCACTGGGAGCTGCTCTAAGGTCTCCCTGGAGCCTTCTCTTCTCCAGGCTGAGCAAGCACCAGACTCTATATAATAGAGTGTGTGAGAACATAAAGAGGACTCTTGCTTTTTCTCCTTCAGGGGACAGCAGTTTGCTCAGCAGATGCAGCAGCAGAATCCTGAACTAATAGAGCAGCTACGAAGCCAGATCAGGAGTCGAACTCCAAGTGCCAGTAACGAAGATCAGCAGGAATGAGCCCTCCAGGTGAGGCTGTAGCCAGGAGTGCTGCTGGACTGTGACCAGCTGAATGGGATTTTTATGTATTTGGCTGCAATATCAGTCTTTTGTCTTAATTTAGCCATTTGGTGTGTCTCCCCTCCACAGAGACTGGGTTATCTGCATCAGTATTGCTAGTACTGTGCCTCATGCAAGGCTCAGCCCAGAGGAGCGGTGAATAAGAACTTCCCTCACACATTGTGTGGCTGACAAAGAGAGTTTCAGTATATAGTGCTCACAGTGGTTAAAGGGACACTTTATTTGCTCAAAGATTGAATTTGCCAATGTCTTGTCTTCCTGTCTCTGCAGCGCAGTCCGTGGGAACTATGTTCTTTGCTTTAAAAACTGGAAGCCATGTGTGTGTTGCCATTTCTTGAGTTGGAAGTGTCCAAGAGGGGGAAAAATAATAATGGAAAACCAAAATACTTTCTATGACCTGCATGTTAAAGACAGATTCATGCTTTCTTTCCCTAGTCTTCATCCCTGCTCCTCTCCCTCAGCCTTTCCATTAGTCTCTTTGTTTTCTTCTGGAAGATCCAGCAAGCTGACCACAAACCAGCAGCAGCAGCAGTCTTTTCTAAAGACACTCAGAACAATTAACTACACTGTTGTTTCTGTTATTTGCTACATGGGAATTTTTTAACCCATTTTTGAAGATTGATGCACTCTTCACTACAGGACGTCTTCACTTTCCTGCCCATGTGCCACTTCAAAGAAGTGTTCAAGTCCTACCTAAGCCCACTTTAATCCTCCTGCCAGTTATGAGATGGTGGTGTTTGAACACTGGAGATTGCAGGATCCACAGGGTTTCTGTTGATTAGATTGACTGCATTTCTCATTCAGGTCTGTAGCAACATGGCCATGGTGTTAATGCATGGGAGTTTGGTGCTCACCTCTCAAAGGATGGTGTAAATGTGGGGGATTCGTGACTGGCCAGGAAGAACCTGCCTACATACAACAGCGTTTCCTGGTGCACTGCTTGGGGTTCTTCCCCAAGTCCTGACAAAAATTGTCTAGTGTTTAGTAATTATGGCTCTGTTGTTGGAATGATCCAATCTGTGAACTAGTCAGGTGGACAGTAAGGATGTTTTTGGTGTTTAAAGGGGTTTTCTTCCTGCTTTTTTTATCTTATATGCATGTAAGTAATCAACCTGTTTGACCGTGCTAATGGTAGGAGTAGCGGGTGCCTGAGTAGAAAACAGATGCAGTAACAATGCTGCTTGGATTCTAGGTGATGAAGTGGCTGCAGGTTTGGTGTTGGGGATTGGCAGTCACACCTCAGCGTGTGGGAAAAGGGAAAAGCTCTTGTAGCCACCTCAAGCCACTCCGTGCAGCCTTCCACCCCTCTAGTTACCTGTGTCACTCCTTGGGCTGATGGAAGGCTCTGGCCCCATCCCCTGAAGGTCACCAGTTGAGGCCAGAGGCTTACATCGACCACAGAATGGGTTTTAAAGTAGTTATTTGCCTGTGGTGGGGTAGGTGTGTTCACAGCCTGGCTGCTGGGCAAAAGGCACCCCCTCTGAAGGTGGGTAGGTGTGAGATGGAAAACACCTTTTCAGGATGCCTGGTGCTGTGAGTGAGCAGGTATATTTACAGATTAGTATCAAGGGAAAAAACCAAAACAAAAACCGACCTGTAAATGCTCCATAAAGTAATATGTGGTCAATGTAACTTGTGAAGAATAAACTATTTGGACACTTTCTTTGTTATCCCTCTTGTCCAGATGACTGAAGCAAGATGTGGTGCTGTGGGGTCAGGGCCAAACCTACACATGGGGTTTATCTGCCTTTCCCCATTTTTCATTATTCCCTGCTGGAATGCTGCCCCTGCCCATTTCTGCTGCCCATACGGTCTTTAAGTTCTTTCCAGATGGTTTTTGGTGGAGGATGCGGTGCTCTTCGTTGGCTCCTCCCCCGGTTGGGCCGGCCCCAGACCCTGTGCCTTGGCCCGGTCAGCACCGCCCACAGCGGACAGCTCCGCGGACTTGTGTCCCTCCGGAACCTTTCGCCGCGCTCCGCGTTTCCCCACCGGAGCGGTTTGAACGGCGCCCTAGGCAGAGCAACCCGCTCGGCGGGGGCGGGCTGACGGACGGCCCTCTCAGCCAATGGGCGATTGGGTCTTCCTGCCGATGGCCAATGGGAGGGCGTCGTGGGCGGGGCGCCGTGAGGAGGCCGCTCGGACCGTGCGGGAGCCGGTGCGTGAGTGGTGGTCGGGGGGGGGCTGGGGGCGTTGCCGGGGTAACCGGGGGTGGCGGTTGGAGGGGAAGGGCTTCGTGAGGTAACGGCGGGTGCGGGAGGGCTGAGGCTGCTCGAGTCCCAGCCGAGCCCCTGCACCCCGGTCCCGGTGACCCTCGGGGTGTCCCCCCTGCATCGCTGCGGCCTTGCGGGGTGCCCCCACCCCCCCCAACGCCGTTCTTCAGGGTGACCGGGGCGGGTTTAAACGGTTTCAAGGCGTTTGGAGGCGCTGGGACAGGAGCAGCTCCGGGGGAATCCCGCCTGGTTTCAGCATCACGCAGTGCTTTTTGACGGGAAAAACGGGATTTAAAGGATCGGACGGAGGGCCTGGACCACAAGTGTGATGCGGGACGGCTGAGGGACCGGCGGGGGGAGGGGGGAGGTGTCAGATGGAGAGCAGAAGGCTCAGGGGGGACCTGATGGCTCCCTACAAGTGCCTGACAGGAGGATGGAGCCAGGAGGGGCTGGGCTCTGCTCCCAAGGAACAAGGGATGGGACAAGAGGAACCGGCCTCAAGCTGCACCAGGGCAGGTTTAGATGGAGCTGAGGAACAATTCCTGCCCCAGAGGGTGCTCAGGCATTGGAACAGGCTGCCCAGGGCAGGGCTGCAGGCACCGGCCCTGCAAGGGTTCACACAGCGTGGAGACAAGGCCTCAGTGCCATGGGTTAGGGGTGGCCTTGGCACTGATGGGGTAAGGCTTGGACTGGATGAGCTTAAAGGGCTTTTCCAACCTGGTTGATTCTACAGAAATATATATTATACATATATATAATATATATATAAAATATATACTTTTTATTTATAATAAAATATATATTTATATATAATATATATAATTTTATATAATATATTTTATATAATATAATTTTATATAATATATATTTTCCTCTATATAGGGCCCTCTGCTTTATATCATATCTCTTCTTGCTGGCATGGTTCATTACGGGCTTCTAAGCCAAGCAGTACCTGTCCTAAGTTAATTCTTTATTACAGAAGGCTTTCAGGCTGGTGAAGCAGTCCAGACGTTGGCAGTGCTGGGTCCTGAACACTGGGCTGTTGACAAGAGCAGGCAAGGAAAAGCACAAGGTACTTACTGCTTCCTTCTTCACTAAGCTGCTTTGGGCGCAGGTCAGGGGGAGAACGGCTGCTCTCTGCTGCTGTGGGGACCTGGAAGCTTTATGCTCTGTTGGGGGCTGTTGCTGGGTTAGAAGAAGGAAGGTGAAAGCCTTGTGAGCTGTGTCAGCGCAGCACTGAGGAGCACTGGCAGTCCTGGAGGCAACCTGGAGAAGGGAGCCTGCTCTCAGCTGCATCAATGGGCTGCCTGCTGCAGAAGCCCTGTCCGTGCACACTGAGCTTTCAGGCTCTGGAGTGACTTGGTCAGACCTGGCTTGGTTGCTGGGTTCTCCCCAGAGCAAATCAATCAGTGGCATCCAAGCAGGGTTTTCTTGGGATGAGCATCACTTCCCATGGGTGCTGGGAACGCGTGGCCTGACCACCATGACCTCTCTCTGTTTGCTTCTGCTTGAGCTGCAAACTTGGAGAAGATAGAAAAAAGCCTTAAGCCTCCCCCATACCAAGTACAGAATCATTCAGGCTCCCACTTTCCTTTTAATAAAAGCCACCATTTCTGCCCTGTTCATCATGGGTGTGGGTGTTAGTTTGTTACCCCAATGCCCTCTGGCTGGCAGCCTTTACCTGGTGACCTGCAAGAGAACCTTCTCAAGGTGCCATTGCTTTGACTTTCCAAGGCAATTCTGTGTAAGTGGTGAGAGCAGCAGTGGAGGGAGCTGTTCACATTTATGTATTTTAAAAAAAATAGATTTAACAATGTTATTTTGTGAAATGATTTTTAGGAAAACAGCTTTCACTGCATGTAACCTGCAGGGAAATGCTGTAATGTTTCAGATCAAGTCAGTTTTTGTGACCTAGGCAACTCAAATCTTCTTTCTCTTGCATGAAACAACCTCTGCTTCTTCTTTTGTCACACCCTATAGACAACAGAGAACCTTGCAGGTAATTTCTCTGTAGGGTTTCCCTTTAGAGACAGCTATCAACACTCGTACTGCCTCCTGGTACAGCACCAACAGCCAGTGGTAGAGGCTCTGACCCACTCCAGCGAGATGGTGATGGTGGCTCAGGAAACTGAGCAGGAATTAATCCAACAGTGTAGTTTCAAGGATACTAGTACCCAAAAATCCCCTGTGTGAATGTGGAAGGAAGATCTTCAGGTTCATTTCTATGTGACAGATCCCACCAGCCCGAGTCCGTATTCTTTTCTCATTGTTAAAAACCAAAGACTTGATCCTTGGGTTGGACTCTACTGCAGGCTCAGGTGGTTTGTGTCTGTCCTGGTGTAGGGGTTTGAAGTGAAACCTCGACAACCTGTGGCTGGTGCAGTTCTCACAGGGTTTTTAGGTTACTGTTCACTGCAGTTACGTTTTTCTCTGCTGGTTTCTCTACTTGCTGTGTGCAGGGTTCTGCTGCTGCCTCTGGGGAGTTACAGGGGTTGCTATGCAGAGGCTGGCTGTGTTTTGGGATGCTTCCATAGGAAAATCTCTCTTGTTTTACTCCTGTCCACAGGGGCCGAGTCCAGGAGCACCTTCCCCTTGAGGTCTGCCTGCGCCGTTGCCTGCTGATGTGCCTGCTCTAAGGGCAGCTGGAGGGACCCCTACTAACTGCTGTCCACAGGGCCATTGACCTGAGTGTTCACCAGGAAGCACAATGAAGATTGTGGTGGCCAAAGTGCTGTGTCTCCTGGGCATCGGTGTCCTCATGCTGCTGGGGTCCCTCCTTCCTGTCAAGATAATCGAGGCTGATTACGAGAAAGCTCATCGCTCCAAGAAGGTTCTTGCCCTCTGCAATTCCTTTGGAGGAGGAGTCTTCCTGGCCACGTGCTTCAATGCTTTGCTGCCTGCTGTGAGAGAAAAGGTAACTGCTTCTGAGCCTCTCTCCTATGAGCACTTGTAGTCAAGTGATGCCACTGTGTTCAGGAGCCCTGTGCAGGGGAAGCAGCCTCCCTGCTCCTGCCCTGCAGGCCACCAGGCCTCTGAGCTGGGGGGAATAGGGGTGAAGGGTCTCTGTCCAGCCAGAGTGGCTCATGAAGCCTTCTCAGAGCTGGCTGTGCCTGGTGCCCAAGAGCTGTGCTCATCTCCCATTGAGCTTCTGCTCCTGTCCAAATGGAGATCTATTTAGTTTTTAATGCAGAAGGAGGCTGAGCATCATCTGGGTGTGAGGCTCAGAACTCCTCCTGTTTAGTGTATGCTGAAAGCATTGACAGCCTGGAAGGCAAAGAGGTTCCTTGTCTCCCGCACTGAGACCTGTATACAAGGGTACAGAAAACATCATGGATTAATTTTGTCTCCATTTAGAGTTGTGTGAGCACACCAGGGATGTTTCGCTTTTTGAGGGACGAAGGTGATTGATTCACTGTGGATTGTTTGCTTCCTTCCAGCTCAATGAAGTTCTTAGGCAGGGGAACGTGACCACTGACTACCCGGTGGCTGAGACCATCATGATGGTTGGCTTCTTTGTGACGGTCTTTGTGGAGCAGCTCATCTTGACCTTCCAGAAGGAAAAACCTTCCTTCATTGACTTGGAGACCTTCAATGCTGGCTCGGATGTCGGGAGTGACTCTGAATACGAGAGTCCTTTCATCGCATCATCCCGCGGGCGCCCCTTGTACAGTGAGCACGGTCACCACTCGCATGGCCTGAGCATCCGGGAGCTTTCCCGCTCCAGCCCCATACGCCTCATTGGGCTGGGGTTTGCTTTGTGTACACACTCCATCTTCGAGGGCCTGGCCCTGGGCTTGCAGGAGGAAGGTGGCAAACTCATGAGCTTGTTCATAGGAGTGGCCATTCACGAGACGCTGGTGGCAGTGGCATTGGGCATCAGCATGGCTAAGGCCTCGTTGCCACTGAAGGATGCTGTGAAGATGGCTGTGGCAGTGAGCCTGATGATTCCTCTGGGCATTAGCATTGGGATGGGGATTGAGAGCACCCAAAACGCAGCCAGCAGCATTACTTCCCTGCTCCTGCAGGGCATCGCAGGGGGCACTTTCTTGTTCATCACCTTCTTTGAGATCCTTGCAAAGGAGTTGGAAGAGAAGAACAACCGTCTCTTGAAGGTTCTGTTCCTGGTGCTGGGCTATGCAGCTCTGGCTGGGCTGGTCTTCTTCAAGTGGTGAACACAGAAGCAATGGGAAGCAAACCTCACCTCCTTCCCTTGCAAAGAGCACCAGAGATGAGCTTCTCTTCAGCCAAGGGGGATGCTGAAGCTCAATGGCTCAGTGAAACATCACAGTCCAGGTGGTATTTCCATATTGACCTAAAGAAGGAGAATTTCTTCCTGTGTGCTCAGAGGGACATGAAGATAAGGAGTGTCCCAATGTAGGTGCCACAGGTATTGTCCCTCCTCCCTGGATCTGCAGGCACAGCAGCTTGTGGAGAGATTAGTTGAGACAAACAGTAAGAATCGGATTCGAAGGCTGCCTTCAAGGAGCTCATCAGGCATGTGGTTTCCTGTTAATCTGCACAGCCAGCCCCCTCCCTCCTGCCCCTCACACTCATTACACAATCTGGAGCTGAGACTCTGCTCCCTTCACTCTTGGGCTCTGAGAAGGTGAGAAACAATAACAGCAATACAGTCAAAAACAAGTGTGGTCATGGATTGCACAGCTGCACTAAGCTGCTTTTCTAGCTTAGTTCTGAGCAATGCCTGGTTGTGAGAGCTGCCAAAAATCATCCCTTCTGGGCCCGTGGTGTGCCTGGTGCCACAGCTCCCCCCCAACAGAGCTTCCATCCTAACCCATGGTGACTCAGGAGCTTTTGTTTTGCACTCATTAATGGACAAAATGAGGCCAGGTCCCTGTCCCGTGTTTCATTCTCCACATCTCACCCATATGATGAGCATTCCATACGGAAAACCTGCAGCAGAGTGCTAATGTACCATTTGGAAATCTTCATGTCCCTGTCCGACGGCCTTTCTGCAGCATTCCTACACACTGGTGTGTGAGGAAGGAGCAGCAGCAATTTCCACCACTAATAAGGGCAAGTGCTTGTGGTGGAATGGGTTTAGCAGCTGCCCTCAGGTGCGGGTTCATGCTCCCTGCCCTCGCTGCTGGCAGGCTCACATGGCTGTGCTGCATTACAGAGGCTTTGCAGGGCAGCTTGATGGAGCCTTGGAAAGCAATCTCTTCCCTTGGGCTTCAGGAGGCTGTGGAAGGGCTGATGGGAGGCAGTGAGCAGGAGCAGCTCTCCCCTGGCTCCAGAGCACGCACGCTGCGCATCCTGTTGTGATCATTGCATTTACCCTCCTGGCTGAAGAGCTCAGATCAGAGCCCGGAGCTGGGAACTTGGCCTCCCCGCTGCCTCCTGCTGCTGTGACATGAGTGAGCCTTTGCTTCTGCAGCAGCTTCCACAGGCAGAGCAGAGCTCCTTGGAAGTGCTGATGGGATTATAACGGGCTTAGCTGTGGTGCGGTCCCTGTTAGTGTGATCCAAAGTGGGAAGAAGGATGGGTGAGACTGTGAAACAGCATCTTGGAGGCAGTGGTTGGCACAGCTGCAGCATATGGAGGCTGATGAGACTCATCTGACACTTCCTGGTGCTAGCTATTTTAATTGCTACAACATACCAAAGTCAATTAATCTTGCTTTGAAAAACCTGGAGTGCCAGGGGGAAGGGAGAGTTATTTTAGGCCTCAGATGGCATAAATGAGCAGGGCCTGAGGAGAAGGTAATAGGCCTGGATGTGATAAAGCTCTGTGTTATTCCACTTCTGCAGCCAGCTCACATGGGCAGCGTGGCTCCTGTTGGGGGTCTCTCAGTGCTGGTGGCTGTCCTGGGACCCTTGCTGGGGGAGCACAATGCTGACTGGCCCTGCTTGGGCACAGCCACTGTGGCTCTTAGTTGCTTGTAGGTGCTTTTTCCTATATTGAGTAAATGGGTGAAGGCCAGAAGGCAGGTGTATCCCAGCACCCCATTTCCCCTCCTCATCTTCCTCATCCTTCCTTGGGCCTGGCCCCATCTGCGTTCAAGGGATGAGGTACTAAAGCCAAGCCAAGCCAAGCTGTTGATGTGAGGTTTCTTAACCTGTGCCTAAGAGATCAGCGGGGATCCAATACTGGGAGCTGGGATCATGGATCCCCCCCACCCTCTCTGGGTCTGGGGTCAGTGAGGGGCCAGGCTGGAGCCTCAGGTTTACACCGTTCTTCAGGTGGAGCTGGCAGGGGGGCTGAGCTGTCCCCCCTCTTCCTGCTACCCTGGAGGGGTTTATTCACCTGTGAGTAGCAGAGTCCAGTGTTCCTGGCTTGGTTTAGGGGCAGAGGAGGACGAGCCCTATCTGCTGCTCCCAATAAAGCCTCTGGCCTCCATCCCTTTGCATCCCTTGTTCATTTGAAGTCACCGTCGTTCCTCTGCATCCCCTGGTCATGCAACAGAGGCACGTGTGGATCCTCTGGGAGGCAGAGCCCAGCCTGAGCTCAGAGGGCGAGCGCAGGGGTCGAACGCTCCCGTTCCCCCCCTTCTCCCCTCCCACTCTGCATCGCAGTGATTCAGCCCTGTGTGTGCAGCCAGCAGCGGCCCCATTGCATAAGGCTTGGCGGGGAGCTGGGGACTGAATGGAGCAGAGGAGGAGCCGCAGCTAAAATCATCAAGGAAACTCATTCATTGCCTCTAATGAGTAGTACCCATCCAGCTCCTAACGCTGGGGGGGGACTGTGGGGTGCCTTTTCATTGTGGGGTGTCAGTCAGGGGCCTGTCCCCATTCCCAAGAGGGAAGGCTGGTGATGTGTGTGTGTGTCCCCATCAGTGCTCTTCAAGGGACACGTGCTGGTGGCTGCTATTAATAGGAGCTGCGGATTTTAATTGCTGCCATGCTGGAGAGAGCACGAGTGAGGCGGCTCCGGTGCCGGTAACTGCGCACCTCGGCGGTGACCTCCCAACCTTTGGGCTTGGGGTCACCTCAGGCTCCAGCCCCACTGCCCCCATGGTGGGGCAGAGCACCCCACGGCTCCTAACCCTAACCCTGGCTTCAGCCCCTTGCTGAGGACCTTGCCCTTGAGCCTGTGCTCTAAGCGGCTCAGGCCCCAGTCCTGCTCGGCTGCACTGGGGAGGCAGTGATGGGGGGTCCCACAGCCCCAGCAGATGCCACCCGAGGAGCCCAACGTGTCACTTGATGGGGGCTGTGGTCAAGGAGCAGCTCTGCCCCTGCCTCGGGCCTCTCCAGGGTTTTGGGGCTCCTGATCCTGCTCTGCCCTGGCACCTGCGGAGGGGACACGGCCACTGGTGACAGAGCCCCTGTGTTTGGTCCTTACAGCCCAGTGTCGCTGCCTAAGCCACCCACAACGGCCACAGGGGATCCCAGCACCCCGCTGCTGCTGGGTGTCAGCACCTCTCCATCCCTCTCTGTGGCCCTGTGTCCCCTGCCTCCACCTGCTGGGCACCGTGCCCGTGCTGGGCTGTGCACCCCTGTCTGTGCACCCCTCTATGCACCCCTGTCTGTGTACCCCAGTCTGTGCACCCCTGTCCGTGCATCACTGTCTGTGCACCCCTGTCCGTGCATCACTGTCTGTGCACCCCTGTCTGTGTACCCCAGTCTGTGCACCCCTGTCTGTGCACCCCTGTCTGTGCACCCCTGTCTGTGCATCCCTGTCTGTGCACCCCTGTCTGTGTACCCCTGTCTGTGCACCCCTGTCTGTGCACCCCTGTCTGTGCACCCCTGTCTGTGCATCACTGTCTGTGCACCCCTGTCCGTGCATCACTGTCTGTGCACCCCTGTCTGTGTACCCCTGTCTGTGCACCCGTCTGTGCATCACTGTCTGTGCACCCCTGTCAGTGCATCACTGTCTGTGCACCCCTGTCTGTGCATCACTGTCTGTGCACCCCTGTCCGTGCATCACTGTCTGTGCACCCCTGTCCGTGCATCACTGTCTGTGCACCCCTCTATGCACCCCTGTCTGTGTACCCCAGTCTGTGCACCCCTGTCTGTGCATCCCTGTCTGTGCACCCCTGTCTGTGCACCCCTCTATGCACCCCTGTCTGTGCACCCCTGTCTGTGTACCCCTGTCTGTGCACCCCTGTCTGTGCACCCCTGTCTGTGCACCCCTGTCTGTGTACCCCTGTCTGTGCACCCCTCTATGCACCCCTGTCTGTGCACCCCTGTCTGTGCACCCCTGTCTGTGTACCCCTGTCTGTGCACCCCTGTCTGTGCACCCCTGTCTGTGCATCCCTGTCTGTGCACCCCTCTATGCACCCCTGTCTGTGCACCCCTGTCCGTGCACCCCTGTCTGTGCATCCCTGTCCGTGCACCCCTGTTCCTCCTCCTGTGTCCGTGTCTGCGTGTCCAGTGCTGGCCCCATCCCCGTCTATCCCCGTCCCTTTCCGTCTGTCCTCGCCCCGGAGCCGCTCGGGGCTGGGCCCGGGGGTCCGGCGGCCCCGGGCGGGGCGGGCGCGGCGGGCGGGGCCGGCGGCGGGGCGGGATCGGCTCTGCGGCGGCCGCACCGCACCGAGCCGAGCCGAGCCGAGCCGAGTCGCTCCGCGCCGCACCGCGCCGAGCCCCCGCCGGGCCGGGCCGAGCCGAGCCGAGCCGAGCCGAGCCCCGCCGCGCCGGGCGGACCGGAGCCACCGCTCCGGGGCCGGCCCGGGCCGGGCCATGCGCTGAGGCCGCCTCGCAGCCCGCAGCCAAGGGCGGATCCCGGGCAGGACACGGTGAGGCGCGGGCACCGCAATGCGACCGGCGCGGCGGGGAGGGACGCGGGGGGTGCCCGGGGCGATGGCACCGAGGGGGAGCGGAGCCGAGACCCCGGCCCGGCGCGGAGGGACCCTGGTCCTTGCCCGGCATCCTGCCCCTGCCGTCTGCATCCTGCCCCTTCTCCTGCCCGCCGTCTCCATCCTGCCCTCCATCCATCCCCGCCTCTGCCCTCCATCCATCCCCGCTTCTGCCCTCCATCCATCCCTGCTTCCTGCCCCCCATCCATCCCTTCCCCTGCCCTCCATCCATCCCTGCCTCTGCTCTCCATCCATCCCAGCCTCCCCCCCTCCATCCATCCCTGCCTCCTGTCCCTGCTCTCCATCCATCCCAGCCTCCTGCCCTCCATCCATCCCAGCCTCCTGCCCTCCATCCATCCCTGCCTCCTGCCCTCCATCCATCCCTGCTTCCTGCCCTCCATCCATCCCCGCCTCTGCCCTCCATCCATCCCTTCCCCTGCTCTCCATCCATCCCTTCCCCTGCCCTCCATCCATCCCTTCCCCTGCTCTCCATCCATCCCTGCTTCCTGCTCTCCATCCATCCCTGCCTTCTGCCACTGCCCTCCATCCATCCCTGCCTCCTGCCCTCCCTCCATCCATCCCTGCCCCTGCCCTCCATCCATCCCAGCCTCCCCGCCCTCCATCCATCCCAGCCTCCTGCCCTCCATCCATCCCTGCCTCCTGCCCTCCATCCACCCCTGCCCCCTGCCCTCCATCCATCCCTGCCCCTGCCCTCCATCCATCCCTGCCCCTGCTCTCCATCCATCCCTGCCTCCTGCCTCCTGCCCTCCCTCCATCCATCCCCGCCTCTGCCCTCCCTCCATCCATCCCTCCTGCCTCTTCCCTCCATCACGACCACCAAAGCCCCCCCCCAGCTGTTTGTCTCCTCCAGTGCTGGTGCCCAAGTGGGAGGATGCTGAGGGTGCTGGGGGGGTGAAGATCCCCCCAGCAGGACCGTGCCTGGGCTGCACCCGGGGCTCGCTGGTGACCCCATCCCTGGGAGCCATGGGGAGGCCTTGGCCTGGGTGGGCAGCTGAGGGCACTGTGGGGTTGTGGCAGTGCCCATGAAGGCCCCTCCAGCCCAGCCCCCTGGTCCCAGTGCCCTGCACTGTGGCCCCGAGCTCTTTGGTCTGCAGGACCCTCACCAGCCCCAGCCAGGATCTGATGTTCCCCTGCTCCAGCCCTGGCCCCATGAGCCAGTGACGTTTGTGACATGGTTGAATCCAAGGGGTGTTTTTCTGCCCTGTGTGCAAGGAGCTCTCGATGGGGCAAGCTTCTTGGGTGCCCAAGGCCGCAGTGATGGGCTCCCTCTCTGTATCCCAGCTGCTTGCTCCCGTGGTTTTCCAGGCACCAGCCCCTACCTGGGTGTTTGGGAACGAGCTGGGGTTTTGGAGCTGCTTGTGGGAGCTGGTGCTATGGGGTGGGGATGCCACGGCCATGGGAAGGAGCTGGTTCCCAAGGAGGTGCCTGGGGATGGAGGAGCCGTGGTGCCCAGCCCAGGGCTGCCCAAGGGGCTTTGCTGTGCCCCTCTTCCAGACTTGTTGGTGCCTGGATTGAGGTGGAGGTGGTGGGAGCGGTGCTGGCCTGGGACAGGATTGACTCCCTCCAGCATCTCCCCAAAGCGGTGTCACTGCCCTCCCACCCCTCTTGTTGCCGTTGGTGGGGCACCTCCGGATCCCCTCTCCCATAGCCAAGGCTCTGTGGTGCCCTGTGTGTGCTGGGGACACCTCACAGGGCAGAGCTGATGCTGCCCTTCCCGTGCTGCAGCAGGGAAACTGAGGCAGGGTCTGGCTGGGGCAATGCTCAGCATGGGGCTTGGCATCAGCTCCTCGTTGTGCCTCCTTGGCCCACATCCTGCGGCTGCATCACTTGGAGGGAGGGGGGGTACAAATGGGGACCCCATCACCCCCACATGAGGGGTTTGGCAGCCACAGGGCTCACAGAGCCTGCAGGCCACAAGCCCACGGCCGTGCCCGTGTCTCCCTGCCCCTGCTGCATCACCAGGGTGTGAGTGGAGCCAAGGGATGGCAGAGCACGGGACACGGCACGGGGCACAGCGCGCGGTGCCACTGGGTGCAATGGCACCTCCTCACTCAGCAGCCACAGCAGCCCTGCAAGGCAGAGCCTGGGGGGGCTCTGGGGGTCACCGAGTCCTCCCTGCCCCATGGGGTTGTTCCTGCTGCCGGAGGGGGGGTGCTCTGGGGGTACCGGGGCTCTCAGTGTTTGTGTCCCCCCCCTCGCAGTGCTGTGACCGTGGCTCTGCCATATGGCTGCAGCGGGCGGCTGGTAAAAATAACCAAAGCTGCTGCACCCCAGGCGGGCCGGGAGCACCCTGCAAGGGCACCTCAAGGGCATGGGGGCGGCCGGGCCCCCCCAGTGCATTGGCCTGGTTGGAGCAGGGGGGCTGCATCTCTAAGGGGGCTTCCACTGGGGTCTAGAGGGGGGGGGAGGCTGCCCCATCCCTAAAAGTCTGGGGGGGGGGGGGTCCATCCCAAAGCCCCCTCTGCCGCTGTGACACCTCCCTGTGCCCTGTCCCTCGCAGCAGCAGCAGCAGCATCCATAGGGCAAGATGCCGGAGCAGAGCAACGATTACCGGGTGGTGGTGTTCGGCGCCGGCGGCGTGGGCAAGAGCTCGCTGGTGCTGCGCTTCGTGAAGGGGACCTTCCGGGACACGTACATCCCCACCATCGAGGACACCTACCGCCAGGTCATCAGCTGCGACAAGAGCGTCTGCACCCTGCAGATCACCGACACCACCGGTAGCCACCAGTTCCCAGCCATGCAGCGCCTCTCCATCTCCAAGGGCCATGCTTTCATCCTGGTCTTCTCTGTCACCAGCAAGCAGTCCCTGGAGGAGCTGAAGCCCATCTACCAGCAGATCGTGCAGATCAAGGGCAGCGTGGAGAGCATCCCCATCATGCTGGTGGGCAACAAGTGCGACGAGACCCAGCGGGAGGTGGAAAGCAGGGAGGGGGAGGCCATGGCCAAGGAGTGGAAATGCGCCTTCATGGAGACCTCGGCCAAGATGAACTACAACGTCAAGGAGCTCTTCCAGGAGCTGCTGAACCTGGAGAAGAGGAGGAACGTGAGCCTCACCATCGACGGGAAGCGCTCCAGCAAGCAGAAGAGGACAGACAAAATCAAGGGGAAGTGCAGCATCATGTAGAGCCCCAGCCTGGCCCGCACCCCCCCTGTCCCCCCAGTTCACCTCCCTCTCCCCCATGGCTGGACGTGGCATCGCAGCGGGGCCATCCCCTCGTCCTCTGTGCCATCACTGTGACTGTGTGGGGACGCTGGCGGCGTGGTCTTGGGGTGAAGATGGAGCATCCCAACGAGCTGAGGGATGCTCGACCGCCCCACGCTCGGCACAACGGGAGCAGGGACAATGCAGCCAGGCACCACTGGGGAGCACATGGATGCACACACACACACAGACACCTCCCGGCCCCGTTCTCTGCAGCACAACCGGCAGCACCGGCTGCTCCCGTGGGAGTCCCCACATTGGTGATGGGAAGGACGGGGGCAGGACGAGGGTGTCGGTGTCACCCCTGGGGACAGTCGCTCGCGTCCCGGTTGCTCCATGCACCCCTGTCCGCACGCAGGCAGAGACCTGGGGTAGGAGCAGCCCCTTGCTCACCCCTTGCCCCCAGCCCTGTCCCAGCACCGTGGCCCCTCCTGCCCCCCCCCCCTCCCCATAGCCCCTTGCCCCCTGCCCACTTCTGGTGCCGCAGCCGGGAGCCACCAGTCCAAGCACAAAAGCATCGGGTCCGAGGGAGGTCCTGACCCAGCACAATCCTGGTGAGCTCCGGTGGGAGACCCACGGCGCCTCCCCCCATCCACCCCGCGCCCTGCCCCGTGAGCCCCACAAGCGGAGCCGCGATGCCGCGGTGATGGGCGCTGCCGCTCTCCCTGCGCAGTGAGTGCCCTGCGGTGGGCAGTGCGTGTGTGTTCCCCCCCCCCCGCCTCTCCCTGCAGTCCCTGCTGCAGGCTGGCCTCTGGCCCCACACCCCGGGGACCCCCCAACACCCCAAGCTCTGGTGCAGCCCTGCTTGTTCCCTCCCCCGTGGCCGGAGTGGGGTCCCCGCGCTGTCACCAGCCCCTCATCCCAGCGAGGTTCGTCCCCTTGCTCCGGCCCTGCTCACCCTGCACCAGGGCCCCTGGCGCTGTCCCTAAGGGGGTGTCCCTGGACAGGCTTGGGCCCCCCCAACCCGAACCCCGTGCCGCTGTGCCCAGCTCTCCACACCCTTGGCTTTTACAGCAGGACCCGAGCACCCAGGGGATGAGGTGACGTGATGATGTAGCCTTTATTCTAGAAATAGTCTTCCTTCAATAAAGAGATGAGAAATGCTCCTGCGTCACCGCAGAGCAGGACCACGCTGGGGTTTGGGGAGGGGGGGGGCACGGCTTGGCACCAAGCGGGTGCGAGGAGGGATAGGGGTGCATGCATGAGCATCCCTCTGCATGCTTGCCCATGCATGCTGCAGGCGTGTGCGCACACACACATGCATGGAGAAGCATCCTCGCTGGTGCATGTGGACATAGCGTGTGCACACGTGTGTGCACCCCCCCCCCCAAGGGGTCCGTGCCCCCCCATCCCCCCCCCCCCGGCTCCTCGCTGCCTGATGCAGGCTGATGTCCCCGTGGGGAGGGGGTGGGAGCTGGGTGCGTGCGTCATCATGCCTGTTGCCTTGGAAACCATCTGCTCCCCGGGCACGGGAGCCGTGTGGGCACGTGTGCGCGGGCGGGGGGCGGCGGGGGAGCGGGGCTGCTGCGGGGCCCGGCCACGGGCATGGGCATGGGCATGGGCATGGCCCCACCGCGGTGATGGCGGCTCCATGGGCACGGCTGCACGGGGACAGGCACGGCTTTGTGGGGATGCTCAGGGCTCCATAGGGGTGCTCAGAGCTTCACGGGGATGCTCAGGGCTCCATAGGGACAGGCACGGCTCTCTGTGCATGGTCACGGCTCTGTGAGGATGCTCAGAGCTCCACGGGGATGCTCAGGGCTCCACCGAGATGCTCAGGGCTCCGTGGGGATGCTCAGGGCTCCATGGGGATGCTCAAGGCTCGACGGGGATGCTCACAGCTCCATGGGGATGCTCAGGGCTCCACCGGGATCCTCAGGGCTCCGTGGGGATGCTCAGGGCTCCATGGAGACAGGCACAGCTCTCTGGGCATGGTCACGGCTCCGTGAGGATGCTCAGAGCTCCACGGGGATGCTCAGGGCTCCACGGGGATGCTCAGAGCTCTATGGGGATGCTCAGAGCTCTATGGGGACAGGCATGGCTCTCTGGGCATGGTCACGGCTCTGTGGGGATGCTCAGAGCTCCATGGGGATGCTCAGAGCTCCACGGGGATGCTCAGGGCTCCATGGGGATGCTCAGGGCTCCACTGGGATGCTCAGGGCTCCATGGGGACAGCCACAGCTCCGCAAGGATGCCATGGCTTCCTGCCATGGGAACCACTCCTGTCCCTCCTGTCTGTACGTCCCTCCTTCCTGAGGGATGCAAGGGGCCAGGGCCTTCAGGCAGGAGGACAGGATGGGCACAGACAGACACTGGGGACATTCGGTGCTGGTCCCCACCTTCTGGGCCCCCCAGGACCCCTGGGCAAGGCTGAGGGGCTCGCAGGTTTCTTCTTGGGGGCAAGGGGGGGCAAAATAAACCTGTGTGGGGACTCCTGTGCTGAGAGCCCCCAGTGCCCACAGCAGCTCTGCAGCGCCTTCAGCTGGCGAACACAACACCTCTGCCTCCCCATTCCCGGGTCTCTCACCCCACATCTTTGCTCCCCTCCTCCTGTCTCCTGCTGCCCCCCACCCCGGCTGGTGCAGATGGAGACCTGCATCAGTTGGGTCACCATGGAGCAGGAGCTCGGTCCTGCTGCCTCTTGGGGTGCTCCAAGGGATGTCCCTCAGGATGTCATCACTCTCCAAGGAGGGTCTGGGTAGCTCTGGCCACTGCAACCCCTCCATGCCCAAGCCTGGCACTCAGCACCCATCAAACCACCCAGGCCAGGGGCACATTGAGCCCCCAAAACGTGCACCCAGGAGCTTGGCTGGGCAGCAGGATTGAGACGGGCGATCCTCATGGAGCACCCAGTGCCTCCTCCAGGTCCAGGGTTTAAACAATGCCTGAGCATTAATCAGTGGGATGAGCCATGCTCCAGCCCTTTCCCATTGCTCCCCCCGATGATGAGGAGCTGTTGCTGCACGCCAGGCCATGGTGGCTGCACAGGACATAGTCCCTCGTGTCCCCCACGGCAGGGAAGGCTCCTGGAAGTGCTCATGGTCCTTGCGGCGCTGGCCTGAAGCTGAGGAGTTCCCCCTGTGCTCTGGCCTGTGCCTGGTGCAGCCGCATCTGCAGCCAAAGCGGCTTAAAACACCGCGGGTGAGGACATATGGGAGGAAACTGGATTAAGGGTAAAAATCAGCCTTCTCCCCACTAACAGGATTAGTGGGTTTTGAGCCCAATCTCGGCCAGCGCTGGCCTGTGCCCGGCAGCAGGGCCAGGGGGAACCAGTGGGGGCAGCCCAGACGCAGCGTTTCTCCATCTGAGCTCATGCTGAGGTTGGAGCTGCAGCTGGTACCTCGTGGTGTGGCCGGGCCGCAGGAGCAGCGCTTGCAGTGCCTCCTGCTCCGGGCTCATGGCTCTGTCCCCCCACTGGCACTGCAGCCAGGAGCCAGGCACCAGTGGGACCCGGCTGGCTGCACTCACTCACCCTGTGCCAGTGGCAGCTGGGGGAATCAAAGCCTTGATTCATGGCGAGTGTGATTTCCTGCTCTCCCGGTGCTGCCGGCGTGACTGCCGCCCGCTGCTGATTCATCCCCCTGGATTTTCCCCTCTCTGCACAGGGAGAGCGGCTCTGCCAGCGTCCCCACAGCAGGAGGCTGAGGCCACGGGCCCCACTGCCAGCCAGCCACATGGATGGGGTCAGAGCACTGGGGGACCCGGAAGGGGGCACAGTGGGGTGGAGGGCTCTGTTCAGGAGCACGGGGGCCACCCTCTCACTGCACCCCATGGGTGCCAGGCACCCAGGAAAGGCTCTGCCATGGGCACTGGGGGGTTTGGGGTGCACTGGGTCCCGTGTGAGACCCCTGCACACCGAGGGATCCCACTGCCTCGCACCCCGAGCACCACGTGCTGCCTTACGGCGCCCCGCCCCTCCGCGCCTCTCATTAATATTAATGAGCTATTTACCTACGGCCGCCCCGCCCCCGCCGCTGATTGGCTGTTCATCCCGCCGCTCCGCAGCCGGCCCCGCCCCCTCACCGCCCTCCCTCCGCACCGCCGTCGCAACCGAACCTGGCGGACTCGCCCGGTCCCGCCTCCTCACCGGGCTGCGATTGGCTCTCCCCGCGACGCGAGCTCCTATTGGTTGGATGAGCCGCCAGTCAGGCTGCGGGGCGGGGCCAGCTCTGCCCGCGCCCGGCCGGGGCTGGGCAGCAGGGTGCGTTGCGCGGCGGCGCTGCTGTCTGAGGCGGTGGCTTCGCTCTTCCGTCCCTCCGCGCCCTGGCCCCGCCGAACCCGGTGAGGAGCCGCCCGCGCCGCGGGGACCGGGGACGGGGTCGGCGTCTGGCGAGCGGGGTGGGGGCGGCCGGCACAGGCCGCGGCCTGGCGGTGGTTCTGGTCCGGCCTGGTTCGGCTCGGCCCGGCCCGGCCCAGCCCAGCCCTGCCCGGGGCCCCTCGCGGCCCTCTGAGGCCAGGGCGGAGGGACATGGAGCGGGTTGGTGGGCCTGGGCGAGGGGAGGTCCTGCGGGCTCCTGAGGGGACGCTGGGCAGAGCGAGAGGGATGGAGGGAGCCAGGCGGGGGGGGTGAGGGAGCGGAGGGCCCGGGGGTGCTCTGGGGCTCCAAGTGAAGGAGGTGGAGGCTGAGGGTGCCCGGGGCCTAAAGCGGGGCTGGTGTTGGAGGTACTGGGGTCTTGAGGGTTTTGGGCTGTCTGTGAGGGGTGCCAGGGCGGATGGAGGGGGTGCTGGCCCCCGAGGGGGAGGCTTTGGTTGGGGCCCTGGGGTGTTGGTTGTCCCCTGGGGTGCAAGGGGTGAGTTGGGCTGGAGGGATGGGGATAGGAGGGTTCTGGTGTGCAGGGCTGGGTGGAGGGGGCTCCCTGGGCAGGTTAGAGGTGGGGGGCAATGGGGTGGGGTTAAGGGGCCCTGGGGATGCTGGAGCTTGGGATATTGGGATGAAGGGTAGGGCTGAGCAGCTGAGAGGGTGTCTGATGGGGATCTCGGGGTGCTGGTGAGCTGGGAGGGTGCAATTTCTGCAGGAGTATCAGTGCTAGGAGACCCTATGGGGCTGTGTTTGGGGGTGCATGTAGAGAGGGGCTGTGCTGTATTGTGGTGGGGGCCCCCGAGCTCCTTGGGTGAGCTGCAGCAAGAGGGAGTTGGGGGCTCGGGGCTGTCGTGATGGAGGTGGCGGGCGCAGGGTGCGTGACTGTAGCTGGAATGGTGAGGAGCATCCCCAGCTTTTGGGTGGATGAGGCAGTGAGGGGGCAGCTGGAGCTGAGGAGAGACAGTTCAGCACCAGCTCTCTTTGGAAGTTGTGTGACTTAATGGGGAGTGGGTCTAGACCATCTTTCAGGGTGTGAAGGGAGGTTGGGAATGTTGTCAGAAGGTCCAATATCATGTAATCTACTGGGGGGTTTTGTGTGTGTGAGTTAACAGCGGCTTGGTGTAAAGAAGTTATGGAGAGAAGGGGAAAATAGCTGGAGGAGTTGACATCTGGTTAAGGGTAGTACTGGTTCTGGGCAGTACTTTGGAGGCATTAGTGAATTGTAGTGCATGGGTTATATAAAGGAGGGGTAGCTGCAGGGTCTGGATTTTCTGTGTTACGGAGGTAGAGCAGAACAGAGGAGGTAAGTGGGTGCCCCAGACAAAGGGAAAAACCTGTTTCCTTCTCATTTCCAAGCAGAGGTGTGGAGTGAAAGGGCAGATGCCGGCGGTGTCCTTTAGGAGGTGAAGGAGGGGAAGCGTGTGCTGTGTAGATGAGCAGGGACTGGAGTCGCTGTGCATGGTTCGGGAGCTGGGTGCCTGACCTCAGCAGCTCATTGTCTTCAACAGTGCTGGAGCAGGTGAATGGGGTTTACCTCTGTACTGAGCCATTGCCATCAGGTGTGGCCTGAAGTGAAAGCCGAATGAACTGTGATGGAGCTGCATCCTGCTCTAAGGCATGATCTCCAGTACTGCGCTTGTAAACGAGACATGAGGTTATTGTGGCTTTTCGGGTGCTGAGCTATGTTTAATGTGTGGGGTGGGTTTTGTTCTGAGGGAGGGAGCTGACAGCCTTCAGCTTTGTTTATAGCTGGGGGCTTCTTGTACAACTGACCTGGGCAAGTACAACCGTGGTGATTACTACCAGGAGAAATGCTGGCTTGTGGCAGACCACAGCAATGGTAGCGTGCTGTTTAGTCTGAGTAAGTAAACTTGAAGCTTTCGAGGTAGTTGCTTGGTTTCCTCAACATGCTGCTTTTCAGACACTACTTGCTTCTCAAGCATGTGTTACTGAAGTCAGACCTTCATCCTTTGGTGGCTTTGTGCCTTTATGCTCTATGGGACATCTCGTGTGTGCAGGCAGATGATCAGTGCTGGTTTGGGTTCGAAGTCAGCCGCATGATTGTAAACCAGGAGCTCTGTGGCAGTGTAGCACCATTTATCATGCTCTGGTTATAGCCAGTATGGAGGAGGATGCACCAAAAAACCTGGACCGATATGTTCAAATAGAGCTTATTGTTTGAGAGGTTTTCTTCTGCCATCCGTAGCTGTGAACCGAATGGAAATGGCTCTCATGTGTGGCTGAAGCGTTGCTGTGGATTTTGATCACAGGAGGCACGTTTCGATGTACCTGCCATATTCATTTCTGCATCCATCTTATCCCTGGCTGTAGTGTATAACTGGTATTACTTCAGATAATTTGTGCTTTTTGACATCATGAGTTACCTTAGGAAGGGATTATCCCCCTTTGAAGGCAGGGGAATGGCAGCCTACCAGGAGAGTGACTTCTCTTGGTTCAAACAGGCAAGGATGATAATTCAGTGGCCGGGAGAGGAGCGTGTGACTCGGGAGATGTAGATTTGTCCTCTGCTCATCACGCTTCCCCTGTGGCCGGCCCAACTTCTGCCTTCCTGCCTTATTTCCTTATCTGCAAACCAGAGATAACCGATCTGCCCTGCCTCGTGCGCTGGGAGGTTGTCATGCTCTGAAGTTCGTTAATGGAACAAGGTGGGTGCCTGGTTCCTTGTCCCTGAGCTTGGCTCCAGAGGAAGTAGCCACTGCCCTTCAGAAACCCCTGACTGATTGCTGGTAACTGCTGTTCACTTCCTGGCATGCAAGTGAGGCAGTGGAAGCTGTCACTGTCAGTGGCAGGGAATCATGGTTCTCCCTGCCAGAAACTGTCCTGTTAGTGCAGAGGTGAGTCTGTGAAACCATGGGGCTGGCTAAGCCCCAGCACCTACCTAATTGCCCTTAGGTCTGTTTTCCACAGGGCTTGAAGTAGCTGCTTGTCCACTTGCCAGCGGCAGGGGGATGTTTTCTTTGACATCTTTGGGAGGTGAATGGCAGAACTCACTTAAAAAGCCCTTCACCTTCTTGCCTTTTTGGCTGTGAGGATTAGCTCAGGTGGGAAAGATCATCTAGTTCAGTTGTCTTGGGTTTATAGACCCCAGCACAGCTCTGAATTCATGAGAGTTCCGAGCGCTGTGGGTAGCAGCAAAGCCGGTGAGAGGGATGTCAGTGCTGCTGTGCTGTAGAAAGGCTGTGGGTGGATGACCCAAAAATGATGGCTGCATAAAAAACAGGGTAAAAGTCTGTAATTGTTTGGGGAGGGTAAAGCAAGAGGAAAAAGGGGTTTATAAAATACCACATCTCTACCAGTGTAATAGTGGGTATGGCTTGAGGTAAGGTACCTGCTGTGACTGTGGTCCTGGCTTGCTCGTGTTTCTGGTAGACCCAGTATTGGTTTCCCTTAACGCATAAGAAGTCAAAGGAATTGAGATGCAGAGGTCCAGTAGTTCAAAGCTCTTTCTAATTGCTCAAACACCACTCATTTAATGGGTTTTGCCTCAGACCAGCAACCTTGCAGTGGGACCCTGTATATACAGCAAGTTTCAGAATTGCCCAGTTCAGCATCTCTGACTTCTTTGGACAGTGCATGTCCCTTCTTCTCACCTGTTGCCAGATAAAGGGATAGATTTTCTTTCTCTCCTATGGGTTTTCTAGCTTGATGTGCAGCATGGCAGAAGAAATGAAATGGGGAAGGGACCAAAACTAAAAGAAAATGTAAGTCCAGTTCCCTCCACCTGTGTGGTCTGACTGTTGTCGCAATAAGGACAAACCAGCAAAACTGGATTGGTTTGGGTTTTGTGGGGTTTTTTCAATTCATTTGTCTTCTATTTAGCCACTTACTTTGCATTTAAAAATAAACTGTTGGAACTTAAGAGTAGGAGAACTGGATGAGTTGAACCTTGCTTCTGGGTACCAGCTGGAAGCACCTGGTTTTGATGGCCATGTACATGGGCGGTTTGCTTCAGCTCACTCTGCTCCATCCCCTGGCATTAGTTCCAGCCGTACAGATTTTACTGCTGTCACGTATAAGAGTCCCCTGTTATCAGCTGCTTCAGCTTTGTTCTGCTAAAAGGCCCTTTATTAAAATACCAGAACAAATGGGCCATTGTGCAATACAACCACGTTTCTATGTTAAATGCTGCTTCTGAAAGTTGCTCCCAACAGTCGCGAGTTTCTTGGATGTAAATTTTCTCTCCAGCGAACCCATCAATTGGATAAAAATGTTCCTTGTATTGCACAAATTTACTGCTTTCGCCCTTCCTTCTGCCCCTCCAAAAAACCTGAAAAGCCACAAACTAACTTAGAAAAACCCCAACTGAAAGTGGTTGAGACAACAAAGCTGTTTGTAAAGGCTGAGTAGAGCGATGCACAGTTAATTCTTAATGCTGGTGGTGTTTAGCTGGTGTGTGAGAGGAGCAGTTCCTCAGCTTAAGTAGGCTTAATCTTTGTTTTAAGGGGTCTAGGAGATGGATTTTTTTCCTTGAGAGTGAATTATGAATTCAGCTGATGGCTCAAACTTGAACATGCTTGAAACTTCCCATAGCTTTGGTTTGTGTTCAATGGGTGGGGAGGGATTGACTGTGATGTTAAAAGGAGGGAGGAAAGAAAAAAAGGGAGGAAATTCAGGCACACTGTTAATGCTGAGACAGAAAACAGGAAATTTAGTTAAGGATTACGCTTTTCCATAATTTGTGTGGTTTTCCCCTTCTAACAGACAAGAAAAAGCCTATGTTGGTTCTTATAACTGAAAATGTTTCCAAGTATACAGTTAAAGCTATATATATTTATTTAATGGACTTTTAAGAAACTGTAAAAGCTGAGAAACTTCAGTAACTGCTGCTTTGATTTATCTTAATTCTACAGAAAGAGGGAGGGGAAAAGGCTACAAAATGGACTGCGTAAGAGTCTCACATTCTTCTAATGCTCTCCAAAAGCCTTCTTTTTTATTTTATCAACTTATCGCTTTCAGAAAAAAATAAACCCTATTTTAATTCTATGGTTTGGGGCTTTTTGAGCCCTGATGGCTTTTTGTCCATTTCTGCCTCATCTGCTGTTAGAAAAATGCACAAGGTCTGAACGTTTCTCGTGTGTTTTAAACCTTTGCAGCTTGTCCTCAGATTGTGCTGCTTCAGTTGTGAAACTACAGAAGCATTTCTCTGTAGGGTTACTGCAGAAACTGCTTTTAGGAGGGATTCTTGCTGTAGTCTTCCAGTCGAAGGGTAACTTCTTTCTTTCTGGTAAAGAATCCGTGTTTATGCTCAATAAATCATGATATATCATGCCTGCCCTTTCCAGTTCCTTGCTAGGGATTATGGTATGATTCCCTAACACAAATGTGAATTTAATGTTACTGTGCAACTTTTCTACTGGGAGTAATAAAAAGGCCTGAGATGCTCTTTAACTTTTTAGAAGAAAATTCTTTAGTTAAGGTCAAAAAACATGACCTTTCTGCTTGTAACTTTGGAATGGTGTCCATAAGCATAAGATGTGGATGTGCTTCTGGCCACTGTGGGAATGAAGCATGTGCATATAGAGGTGCTGAGAATCCGAGTGGATGGCTTCAGGTAGTGCATTTCCACTGACCAAAAGGATCTGGTGAGCATTACATGTTGTGTCTTGGGCAGAGTGCTGGGAAACCACAAGTGGAGCGAGCACCTGCAGTAGCATCCGATGGAAAGCTTGTGTGAGGCTCCTGTCAGGCAGGTTTCGTTGCAGCTAATCCCTGTTAAGTGTTGCTGTCACTCATATTGTGAGTTGCATATGGAGTTGTGCTGTTGATCTTGACCCATTGGCTTCCATCCTTGTAAGATCTTGCCTGGTAAAGCTTGAAACAAAAGTGGTGCTGGTCATCTGGAAGGATATAAAGTGAGTTTTTGCAAAGAATGCGTTAAAGTTGGTAAATAGAACATGCCTCTTGGTACCAGCATGTTTTCTGCTTAAGTACTGGCACTGTAGCTTTGAGATGGGGAAATAAATACTCACAAATCATATGCTTTCTATGAGATTTTTGAAGGTATCAGCTTTGAAAAGCAGGGCAGGGTGAGATGAATGTACTAAAATAAGAAATATTATCTAGCAGTTGAGAGTGGGTTGGTGTCCTGTAAGACATGGAATGAAATGAAGTTTGGAGACAAAAGTCTGCAAGAATAGAAATTCAGGTGTTGGTGATCTTCAAACTGTATTTTCTTTCACATGGTCAGGGAATCACTAAGTTTAATTTCCTTGGTTTGGCTTGTTGGTTTCTTGAGTATTTGCTGGTAAAGAAGGGTCATAGGAAGCCTATAAAGGATGAGGACCATTTACCTTCTGCTTCAGTCAGGTGAAGACAGCTGCAGGTATGATGGGATTAGATGCTGGTTAGTGCAGTGATTTAGTATTGTGGTTGGTTGGTTTGTGGTTTGCTGTTTTTTCACTCACAAACAGGACTGTTTTCAGGTGAATGTGTAAGAAAAGCTCTCAAGAAGGAATGCAAAACTAACCTCTCATCATGCCTTTCAATTGAAAACCTCCT